AGCAGACCCGCCTTCTCTTGGGCGGGGGGGGTTTCGGGGGGGCTGCATCCAGGGGGGGCTCCCCGGGCTGGCCCGTCTCACCACTGGCCCGGTCCCCTCTGGGGAGCTCAGTGCTTTGGGGTCCACCCTCCTCAGGACGCACGATGTGCTTCTCAGCACGGTGACTCTTGAGGGCCCGCTGGGAACGGAAGGCCTCAGGGCACAGCGAGCACCAGAACCGCTCCAGGCTCCGGCACCCGTCCTCCACATGGGAGGTGATGGTGGATACACGGGAGCACACAAACGGGCAGGCATTGCAGCGCAGCTTCCCTCCCTCCAGACGGTATTTCTCTGAGGGCTTTCCAGGCTGGGGGGGACAAGCAGCTCCACTTGGCTCAGGCCCACCCCCTTGCTGGGGAGGCTCTTCTGCCACCTCTGTGCTCACACTCCGCAGGGATTTTTCAGGGGCAGGACAGCCCAAGGTCTGTTCCTTGGCCAAGGAACTGCTTACTGCCTGCATTTTATCAGGCACCAGTTCAGCTTCCCAGAGGCTCTTGGCATGCCTGGACTCCTCCGAGCCTCCACTCTCGCTCTCTGTCGTTTCTGTACCGTTATCACCAGGCTGGTCGGCAGGTTGGCACAACCCAGCAGGCTCCTGACCAGCTGGTCTGAGGATCTTGTTCTTCTTCATGAGGACCGGGCACTTCTTGAGGAGATGGGTGTTGAGCCCCCTTTGCTGCTTAAAGCTGGCACCGCACTCGCGGCACATGAGCGGGGCCCGGCGGCTCTGGCAGCTGGCCTTGGAGTGCAGGGACATGGACTTCTCCTTCCGCGTGATGTACGAGCACTTCTCACACTTAAAGATCTGGCTCTCTGACTGCACCACCAGCATCTGCACCCTGCCCTCCAGCACCAACGTCTCCGCCTGCTCCTTGTCCTGCTTCCGCAGCGCCTTCAGTAGCGACTCCGAGCCGCCCCTGGCATCATCATTGGAGGTGGCCGCATCCTCTGGGACAGGTGGGTGGCTCTGCTCAGCCGTCTTCAGCACGCTGAGCCAGGCCTCCGGCAGCTCGGCTTGGCTGGTCTCCCTCACCTCGGTGTCTGCCACCAGCTTGTGGTGGTCCGAGCACAACCCCTCGAGCTGGCCCGTGGCCTGCCTCCGGGAGTCTTTTCCCTGGCTGTCTCCTGTTGCTACCCTGTCCTCCAGCCTCGCTGCCTCACCCTCCTGTACATCCGCCGCCTCCTCCTCAAAGTCCGGGATGTCTTCGAGTGTATTGTCATTGTCCTCCAAGCCAAGGTCATCCCGGGAGCCCAGCATCTCGCAGGCTGTGGGAGGCTCCTTGCAGGACAGCATTTCCACACTCTCCGGCTCTACCATGCAGGATTCTCCAGTCAAATGCTTCAGGAGGGGGTCAGACGAGGTGTTCAGTGCCTTCAAGTGCAATGTGCAGCTCTCCGCCACATCCCCAGAGGCAGCGAGCTCAGTCGAGCCTGCAGTAGCATCTCCTTGCACGCAGCCATCGCCCAGGGCATCACCAGCGGTGGGACAGCTCTGCTCCCCCTCGCCCACGCCTTTCTCCACCTCACCACCGCTCTCCGGCGGAGCGACATCCCACCCGAGGAGGGCCACCACAAATGCTTGCTGGTAGCCTCCTTCCCCCTGGGACTCCAGCTGGGATGGCTTCACCTTCGCCCACTGCTCCTTGCCAGCAAGGGGGAAGCTGGCATCCACACGCAGGGCTGCGCCGAGCTCGCAGCCCAAGAGCGCCTCGGACGAGCTGATCTCCAGCTCCTTGCTGGCGTAATTTTCCAGCCAGTCCTTGTCACCGGGGACGTAGCCGTGAATCTTGCGCTTGTGGAAGAAGAGGCTGGTGTTGCTGAAGGTGCAGTAGGAGCAGAGGGCGCAGCGAAACTCCTTCTGCTTGGTGTGCTTGCAGTTCTCGTGTTTCAGCAGCGCCTGCTTGTACTTCGTCTGGTAGGCGCAGTACTGGCACTGGAAGACAGGCACCTGGTAGTTCTGCGAGTGTTTCACCTGCACGTGCTTCTGCAGCTCGTACTTGCGCTTGCAAGCAAAGCCACACACCTCACAGATCAGACTTTTTCCCTGGTGCCGCAGCTTGTGGCTGCTCAGCTGGTCGGCACGGTGGCACCGGTACGAGCACTGGTTGCATTGGTACCTGTGGGGAAAGTGGAACTGGTCAGGAAGCACGAGGACCTGGGGCAGGCTGAGCCCTGTCAGTCACGCCGAGCTCCACTTCCCCGTCCCGCACACATGGGTACAGGGTGCTGTTTGGTTTGCCGGATCCGACCTTTGCTGTGCAGGCAGCTCTTTGTGCAGGCAGCCCCTCTCTGCTGCAGCCCTTGGCACCGCTGGTGCCTTACAGCCCCCGCCTGGGGACGGGTGGCAGCTTCCCTGGGTACCCCACACAGCGACCGCGTCACCCCCCAGCACACGCATCACACCAGCAGCACCTCCAGCATTGCGGGAGGCAGGCTAGACCCGAAGGAGGTGATAATACAGAGGTAAAAAACACGTTTTGGTGGAGCCCTGCACATGCCCAAGCTGGCCTTGACCCACAAACATCAGCAGAGCCCAGGAACCCGAGCTCAGAGCTGCATGACGTGGCAATATGCCTCTTCTGCAGCACAGCCACTCCAAAGATAACTTTGCTTCTGCAGCACCATGCTGGCAACAGTCTGCAAGCTCAAGGACTGCATCTTTTACGTGTCAGACAGAGCAGGTTGTAGCCACCCCCAAGGCACAAGAGTCTGAAACACAACACAGCCCAGAGCAGCAGACCCCCGGAGCAGGACCTGGGGAGCCCTGACTACGCTGCCAGACCACGAGGGCTCAGGGTCGTACCGGAGATCGCCAGTGTGCTTGCGCATGTGGACGTTCAGGTAGTGCTTCCACTTGGTGATGTACCCGCACTCGGTGCACATGAAGTTCTTGTCGTTGGAGTGGGTCAGCATGTGCTTGGACAGGTAGCTCACATCCCGGCACGTGAAGTCGCAGAGCTCACACTTGTGAGGTTTCTCTCCTGCAGGCAACACAGGAACACCCTCAGCGTGACAGCCAGATAAGGCAGCACGGGCTGCCTTCCCCTACGGGGAAAGCAGCTCAGCAGGAGCTGGGGGTAACAGTAGGGATGAGGGCATGCCATGACTTCAGCCAAGCGACACTAGGGTGGAGGAGCCAGTGATGGGACCCAGGAGCCCCAATCCAGCCCTCCCTGCCCACCCGGAGCTGGGACAGGACCCTCCCCATCCCCTCTCAGCTCTCAGGACCCTGCAGAGGACACCCACCGGTGTGCAGCAGCATGTGCCGGATGAGCACCCTCTTGTGCGCGGTGGCAAAGGCGCACTCGGTGCACTTGTGGATCTTCTCGTTGGCATGCATCTTGCCCACGTGGTCGTGAAACTCCACGGGGTTGAAAGTGGTGTAGGGGCAGAAGCTGCACTGGAGCTGCTCGCTGCCCGGATGCCCCTGCTTCTTGTGCTTGCGGAAAACGTGCTTGTTGGAGCAGATGAAGTCACACTGCTGGCAGTGGAAGGCGTAGTGGGTTTTTCGGTGAGCCTCCATGGCTTCGGCCGTGCCAAAGAGCAGCGAGCAGGCATGGTACTTGCACTCCACTGCCTTGATGCCATGAGCATCCTTGAGGTGATGGACAAACTCCTTCCGATCCTCCGCATAGTAGCTGCAGCCCCCCTGGAAGCAGCTCAGCCTCTTGGGCTCGGCTTTGTGAGTCTTCAAGTGCTCTTTGAGGGCCTGGCTGAGCCGAAACTTCTCCTCGCAGACGGGGCAGGAGTAAACATCGGAGTAGAAATTGGAGATGTCCTCATGCATGCTGGCCATGTGGCGGTTCAGGGCGTTCTTCTCCACTGAGCTGTAGTGGCAGAGCGGGCAGCGGTGGGCCTTCTCACCCGTCTCCCGCATCATGTGGATTTTCAGCTTGCTTTTGCTGGTGAAGTACTTGTGGCAGTTGGGGCACTGCAGGCTGGGGGCGGGGAAGTGCAGGTGGAGGTGCTCCACCAGGTGCGTCCGCTTCTTGAAGCATCGCTTGCATTCGGGGCACATGTGGGTTTTGTAGAGGTACTCGGAGCCCTCCGCGACGTCACCTGTGAGAGCAGAGGAGGGGGAGCTGTCAGCAGGGAAGGGACAGAGAAGAGCACAGGCAGATGTTCTCTCCCTGATCCAGCTGTGCCAGGGTGAGGGTTTATCATACACGCGGTCACAGAGCAACTATCTACTCAGAGGGGCTGTGCCCACCCCAAACCACCAGCATGCTGCAGTGGACTCTTTCCAGCTCAACACTGGCAAAGCTGATCCAGTGCAGCCTGAATCAGGCCTGCCCATGTGCCCCCGCTCCCAAAGCCAGGCAGACTTTCGCCTGCTTTTGCCCAAGCCTGGCAGCAGCTGAGGACAGGCAACAGGATGAGCAGGGACACATCTGCTTGGGCAGAGAGCAGGGGGGAACAGGAGACAGGAGGCTGCTGGATGGCACAGGAACCCCACGTGCCACCAGCCCGGGCCTTTTTCCCCTGCCAGTCTCAAGGCCATGCTGCTTGTTCATAAGACAAAGCCCGAGCAGCTCCTGGTACGGCCCGGTGGTGCCCCACATCCTACCTCTGAAGTGCTGCGCCCGCGGCACTCTGCCTTCCTCAGGAGCCGCCTTCCCACCCTCTTTGGCCTCGCCTTCGCAGGGGCTCTTGCCATCCTCCTCCGGCGACTCATCCCCACCGCTCTCCAACTCTTCTTCTCCAGCTGACGCTTTCTGCCCCTCCAAGGAGCCCTCCCCGGTGCCTGTGGGGTTTGCTGGCCTGGCATCTGTTGCGGCAGCATCCCAGCCAGCGTGGCAATTCCCTGCCTCCTCCTGCCCTTCTTCTGCTGCTGCTTCAGTGGAGAAAGACAGAGATGATCATGCTCCAGGTGAGAGGGAGCCACCCCCCCACACCCAAAAACATGCAGAAAACCTCCTGGCTGAGATGGGCACAAAACGTGCTGCAATGAGGAACGAAAGCTGCAGAGAGCCACCAGCCGCAGGGCTCCCAAGCCCTCCGCAGCACAGCCTCACCCCCCACCCCTCCCCCCC